AGGGTTAGTTTTGAGTGTTTAAGGGGTTTTAGGTGTCAAAACATGTTTTAGGGTTTAGAATTTTAAGATATATGCTCTATAAATCTATAATTAGTGGCATTTTTGTAAATGAACACCCCTAAATGGTATTCTTGCAAATATACACACAAAAGTGGTATTTTTGTAATTGCCCCAAGAATCAATGACAATTCATAAGAATTTCTAAAATCTCTTAGATTTCTAAAATCCATAAACTTTACACAATCTATCAATGAATAAGGCCCCCTTAGTTTTTTTTACCCGAGTCAAATGCGAGATTAAAATATGCGAAACTAAAAATAAGAAAGATAAAACAAATTTATCTATATGTCAAATATCTCCCATACAAATAAATATTTTTTATTTCACAAAACTTAATTCACATGACACTTATATTAAATGTAGAGAATTTGTTAAAAATACCTCTTTTAAGATACCATTTTTCAAAAATGCCATCTTTCTTAAACGTTTTAAAAAATATCACTAATCCTCTGTATATTAATTGAGTAGGTATTTGGTGAAACAATCATATATGTCATTCAATGGAGATTTTAAGAAACTTGTCATTTAAATTAATCAATGAAAATATTTCAATTCAAATCATATGATATGGTGGAAATCTCTACATTTTTATTAATTTTATAATATAAACCCAGTAATACACATTTTGCAGATTTAAGTTTAACTAAATGTAATATTTAGACTTACCATATGATCTATTTTTAAAAAATAGATATATTAAGAAACTTTCATTATTATATTTGTAACAATACTATTTATTCGTAAACAACAACTACATTTACAAATATTTTTACTTTTCATTATTGAAAAACATATATTTTTYWTTTKTTWTKTCCGACAAATTCATATAAATCTAAAATTTATTTGATTTATCGTATGGTATAATTTACATAAATAATAAAATTTAATTTTACACTTCAAATAAATTGAAATGAATAACATTTACATTAGTTTTAATACTTTATGCAAAATTGATCAAAATTTAACTTTGTGACATTTATGTACAATACATATCATTTTATATGTTTATAAATATAGGAATACCCATCTAAATATTAAAATCGATTAGAAAACATATTTAAATCCACGCTTGGCATGTATCAAAATCTAGTTAAGATACAAACAAACGGTAGCTATAAAGATTTCAAAAATCAAATTTTGCCTCGCTCCTCTCATTTTCTCTGTTTCTCCCATCTCCCCAAAAAAATAATTCGATTTTGTCTACTCGACATTGGGCAAACAAAGGCATACGAAAAGAATACGGGTCAGAAATAGCTACATTGTATATAGGGAAACATAATTGATGTTTTTCACATCAGAGAAGAGGAAACAAAGGGATTTACCATGTCAGAAAGACAGTGATGATTACTCCGGCACAAACTTGGCCTCGATGGGATCATTCGCTTAGCATGATCCTCATGGACGATAAAATTGGGGACATCTCCTTTCGGTAAGCCTCTCAATATTGTTTGTTGTTTATGTTGTGGTGTTAAACATATAGTCAAAATGTTTTTTTTCTAATGGAACAGATACGTACATTTGTCTTCTTATGAGAAGGCGCAGATCGAGTTTTTATCAGCCCAAGATAGATTTAATATGGATGGCATACAGAATATCCTTGACCGCCATCCATATCACATCCCTTCTCTCCTGTATGTTGCTGATTGGTTTGATGAAAGCGCAAAACATGAGATGGCTGCTGACGCCATACGGAAATGCTTGTACGCATTGGAGAAAGCTTGGCACCCTCGCTTCAATCCTTCAAACGGAAGTTGTAGGTTAGCCTATGCGGAAAACAAGTTATTTTACCGAGTAATTTTTCTCCGCATTAGAATTATGCAAGCTGATGCTTTCGTTGGATAGAAAGGTTCTTGTCGATGCATTATTCTGTGTTGACTACTACGCCTTGAGTACAAAGAAATATGCTTGGCTTGAAAGATTTTCCGAGGAGTACCAAAGCAACTTAGACAAATCGGTATGGCTCTTCCCAAACTTCGCTTATTCACTTGCTCTATCTCGAGAAAACAGAGCCGTCCTCTGCCTCAGAAGTTAGTTCGACGCCAAGCTCACTGGATCTCAAGAAACTATCAGTCAAGGTACCTATGAAAAGTAAGGCTTGGACAGAGATTCTTAACCATCCTTACTTCCAATCAGATAAATCGAATTCCCCATCCTTGGACCACTTGATCGATATATATGTGAAGAGGAATTACCTTTTATGGAAGTTACCAGAGCCCTTTGAATTGCTTGAGAAGGCTGCTTTAATAGATATTGAGTTACTGGAAGAAAATGCAACAGATGCAAGAGACTGGCTTTGTGTATGCAAAAAGCTTTCTAATTTCAGAAAAGGTTACTTATGGTTCTAATCCATTCTAGGTACTCTCATCTATCCATCGAAGATTTCTCTGATACAGTAACCATTATCCCAATAGAAGAAGATTTTCAGAATATAGAAGATGAGTTGGCCTTAGGCCTGATCCTGAAATTGGAGATGATCAAGTGGCTCCAATACCTGATGGGACAGATTGGGACATATGAAATCATGGCTAGTTTTAATACAGGACATTCATGAGTTCATGAGATGCTGACTACCTAACCTACCAGACAATACAGGCTAATAGGCTTTACCGTAGAAAGAAGAAAAGTGCTACTAGTTTTGGTTCGTCAAACGCTACATATTTTGCAAATGTTTGATGATAATAGTTTAGTCTTTAACAATAATTTTCTAGTACTCTCGTGAGACTTGATAATTTTTTGTAAATCGGATCTTTAGTCAGTTTCGAATTTAGATTCCTAATTTTCTAGTAGAATCAAAGATATTTTTCTTTTCCTGCATCAACAGACAAATTGATGTTTGTGGATTTCGTTACCTGTTCTTAACTCTTACTTTTGCTAACTTTGATCATTTAGTAGTCGATTTCGTTCGTTTGAGTCTTGGTCCTAGAGTCTTCCAGAAGTTTCCATACGGATTTCTTGCCATTTAAGTTTAATTCATTTCCTATGTTCTTTGGACCTTGTTAGTGGTATCCGAT